GAATATTTTCTATGAAAATTTCTCCGACATTCAGGCCGGTAAATGTTTTTTAATGCTGTTTATTATAAACAGAGCATTTACTTAAATACCTGTATCTATAAAAAAAAGAACGTTAAACATAAAAATGTCTTTAATAAATATATATATATATATATATCCACAAATATACCTTATATTTATATATATATATATATATATATATACCTTACATATATATAATTAATGTATATTTAAGCAGTAAGTATTTATTTAAACAATTTTTCATTAAAACGAACCAGCAAAGCATATCTTTCAGGGTTTTTTTTATTATATTTTTTAAAATTTTGGATAAGGTGTTGAGTATTGTAGTTGTGGATAAACTGGACGAAGCTGATATTTTGTTATTTTGTTCAAAGTCTTTCGTCTATCGCAGTCATTATCAAAAACCAATGTGGTGTGTCTGATAGTTAGAATTCCTTTATCTACATCTGGCATTCTTTGATAAGCTGAAAATTTCAAATGGTCTAACGTGACGTCATGTGTAACGGCTAATGGGAACGAGGTCACACAAAAAGAACACGAGTTATTTATATATTTATATATTTATATAAGGCAATCGCTATTAAAAAACGACAAATATTTTGTGTCGATTAAACATTCTCAAACAAGGGGAAAATTCCGTCAGAAATTGTCCGAAGTTCATTTCGTAAGAAAATACAGGAAATATGGTCGAAGTTTTCTGTTTTCTTAAGTCATCATAGCTAGAGACAATTGGTGAGTTTAGTAGAATTTTGAAAAGGTGAGCAATGCTATTTTTTAATAAGCTCTCAGAAGTATGTGATGAAAGCGTATGAAGCACATTATAAGATCTAAATTCGTAGATTTAATGTGTGTTGTGCAAACGAAAAGTGTTGTGACGTAGGAGAAGTGAGACGTGGGTTCATTTATATATATATATTTATAGATGATGACTCTTAAGTTGTAATTGGTTTTATTAATTGATGGTTGTTTTTGTTGTATAAGTATTGCTTCTAGGATCTTTTTTACTATTTGATTTTGCGAGTATTTTGGTATCATTTGTGAATAGCCGTCACTATATTACTGTGATCATTATTCTGTTTATTAATGTGGCTGTCTGATTGCACGGAGACTCACTTGCCACCACTCGAACCAAAATGCCATCAGGCAACATATTATATCGTGTACTAGTCTTCCGAAATTAAATTTGGACAATTTCTGACGGAATTTCCTCCGTGTCTGAGAAAGATATCATGTAACAATGTCCTCAAATCAAAATACGGGAACCCCCAAAGGTAAATAATGCTTAATACACACACACACACACACAGACACAGACTTACAAATATACATTATCATTCGAATCCTATATGGAGAAATTATGATGCTCTTACACGCATAAACTATACATACGAATGGTTCTTGAGAATTCAAATATGCGTGAAATCTGCTTAACCAATGAAAATCAAACAAGGCAAATATAAAAGTACAAGAATTTCTTTTTCTTTGTGTTTAAAGGACACTATTTAGGCTTTGTTTGACCGGAAATCCTAGGTGGCATAGCGGATATATATATATATATATATATATATATATATATATATATATATATATATATATATATATATTCTATATAAATTCATGAATCATTCATACAAAACAACAAATATAGAGGTTAATGATTTAAATGGCGAGAATACATCATCGCAAACAATATCAATAAGATACACCAACCCCGAACCTGTAGATGAATGTTATGATCCCTGTTTATAAGTTCCAGTTGCATAAGGTCTTTTTAATTTTTTACAAGCTTTCGTCTGTTCCTACAGACATCCTCAGGTATGGAAATAGATTTGTTCTTGTTTTTACTTTTCGGTAAATATATATATATGTAGAGAGAGAGAAAAAGAGAGAGACAGACAAAGACAGAGAGAGAGAGAAATGGACATTGCAGTCAAATCCCGGAGGCAACAATCAGTTTCAAGCTTAAACGCAATCATGAGGCCTAACGTATGAAACAGACTGTCGCCTCTGTGTATTGATTTCAATGTCTACTTTTATATTTACATACACTCTTTCACTGATATTGAGCACTTTAACCCACTAATATAGCATACCTTAAAATCTTTTATCATATATATATATATGTGTGTGAGAGAGAGAGAGAGAGAGAAAGAGAGAGTGAGTGAGTGAGTGAGTGAGTGGATGAGTGAGTGAGTGAGTGAGTGAGTGAGTGAGAGAGAAATTTGTCACTGATGTTACCTTCAGCATTCACTCCGTCCACTCGTTAAGGGCTATCAGCAATATATATATATATATATATATATATATATATATATATATATATATAAGAGGATAAAAGACAACAAAATGGTAAAAATATTGTCAATAAGACTGATATCGTATATATATATATTTATATGTATATATATATATATATACGTGTGTGTGTATTTAGGCATATGCCTAAATACTAAAATATTATCTATAAAACTAAAATAATAAGCAACCTATTTCAAATTAAAACATACAGCCATGATGACGGTTGACGATAACTGAAAGCGCTCGGCAAAACACCATAGACTAGGGTCTTATTTCAACAACTTAGACCCAAATGTTAAAAAACTTGCAAGAAAAAAATGAAAAAAGATTATTAAACGGAAAATGCTTTAATAACAACATGCTGCCAAAATATACATACATACATACATTTATATATATATATATACACACACACATATATATATATATATATATATATATATATATATGCATAGGTATACACACATCAATATATATATATATATATATAAGTTCGACATTTGCCCTGCCACCACTTCTCCCATGTTTTATTGAACAGATGTAGGTGGTTACCGGTTCAATCTCCTTCTTCCATGACAATGGTGGTAGATAGCTATACTTTAGAGTCTAGCCTTCCTTCTATCTCTCGTCTCTTCACTTAATTTGAGCTGTTAATATCTACTGACGAAAGAGAAGGTCTGGCTCATAAATTCTCTTCAAATTCTACTGTTGACTCATCTGGAGAATTTCTGCTTGACTATCCACGTAGAGCAGTCGCCCTATTGAGTGATATGCATATGACTCCGGCCATGGTTTCTGCTATAGTCTCTAAGGTCGATCCCATCAAATCATTAGGAATTGGTGGTATCCCTGCAATAGTCCTTAAGAAATGCGCTCCTGAATTGGCTTCTATTCTCTATAAATTGTACAATAAGTGCATTGTTGCTTCTTGCTTTCTTACATGCTGGAAATACTCTTTTGTAGTTCCAGTCTTTAAGAACTCAGGCGAATCCTCTGATTCTTTCTGATTATTGTCCTATTAGCCTTCCATCGCTCTTTGGCAAAGAACTAAAGGCTCTAATCAACTCTGAATTAATTAAGCATCTCACCACGCAGGGTTTTCCTTCAGATAAGCAATATGCCTTTCGCTTTTCTATCTGCTGTTGTATTAAATATTATTACTGAAAGAGTCTGTCAAGTTTTAGATAAGAGTAGTGAAGCTCTTGCTGTTATTTTTGAATAGCACTTATGCATTTGACGGGGTTTGGCATATTGGTCTTCTTCACAAGGATATG